CCGGAGTTGGCCAACATGTTCCGGTTCTACCTGATGAAGCCGGATCGCGACCTGGCCCTGACCCGCCGGCTGTACCCCCAGGTCCTGAGCTTCGAGCAGTGGCTCCTCAAGAACAAGGCTGCCTTCCAGGCCCTGTGAGCCCGGTCGCCGCGGAAACGCTGCCCCCCTGCCTGCCTCCGCTTTTACAGAAGGCAGGGGGATTAATTCTCCAGACTTCCTGTAGGTGGCGCCGTTGGGTGAAAAGTGTAGTGAGCCCATATCTCTAAAGACACTAAGAGCTGCAACTGTGAGGCCAGGCCTGGCTAATTACATTCGGATGACAATCGTTACTGAGCCAGATCGAACAAGGACCAGTCTGAGTGAAGGAGCAGGGAGCTTACAAATCTGGTTTGAACTGTCTGAAATAGAACTGTCTGTCCGAGTTGAGTCTGAAATAAATGCTTTCTTTATATAAAAACTGCATTAAACATGAAAATGAAGTCCGCTTGTCAAGTGCCTTCTTTATACAACGCTACACACAGGATACTTTTCATGTTCCTGTGTGCTAATTTCACTGCTGGGTATTTCACCCTGTCCATTCGCTGCCTTTGGTAATTGAAATTCTGCTGTTCATTGAGATGGGAGCAAGCTTTATAGAGTTGAGGACCGTGATCGTATTGCGGGTATGTAGTGCAGGTGGGGAGCTGCGTCAGCATGCGTAGGCTGCAGAGGAACACGTAATAGGTTTATTCCAGGCTTAAAAAGAGAAGAAAGAGAACACATCGTTTCGCCTGTGGAGCCTTCTTCAGGTGTGAGAAAGACAGGGCAGAATGCAAAGGTAGCGGGAGAACACAGGCTGGGAGAGAGGAGGAGCGAGGGGCGGGAGCAGGGGACAGAAAGAGGTGTGAAGTCAGGATAGGTGTAGAGAGGTGTGAAATGAAACCTACAATGAATAGAGAGAATTTAGAAGAAAAGTGGTCTGTCGTTAAGAGAAGGGGGAATGTGTGATCCTAGCTGCAGGGTAATTTTGGTTTCTGTAGTCTTTCTGATGTATGAGTTGGGAAAACCGTCTTTGAGAACACAGATGGAGAGATTAGAGTGGTCGTGTTGTGGGTATTGTACTCTAGACACAGTGATGTTATAGACAGTGATGTTATCAAGACCGAGCGGTGGCTCTGTGGCTCAGGATCTGCGCCTGTGACTGGAAGGTTGCCGGTTCAAATCCCGCGGCTGGCAGAGGAATCCTACTCCGTTGGGCCCCTGAGCAAGGCCCTTCACCCCAACTGCTCCAGGGGTGCTGTACAATGGCAGACCCTGCGCTCTGACCCCAGGATTCTCTCCCTGTCTCTGTGTCTGTGTCTCCATGGAGAAAAGCTGGGGTATGCGAAAAGACGCATTCCTAATGCAAGAAATTGTATAGGGCTAATAAAGAAACTATCATTATTATTATAAAAAAATGGAAGTAGATATCATAGATAGGCTGCAAAGGAACAAGTCAATGTTTATTCCATGCTGATAAGAGAAGAAAAGCACAGCATTTTGGCTGTGG